CAAACATAACAAAAACCTCTAAAATTAATAAAACCAACATAAATATCCTAAGATTTTCCATTTTCATTCATCTTGAAAAATCCAGAAACACAAGATCCAAAATTTCTCTCTCTTATTCTTCTTTTCTTCCCAAAAACAAACAGGAAAAAGAAAAAGGCACTATCTGAAAGACTCAAAAAACCATCTACTTCTGAAGATTATCGGTGACTTGGCGTTTGAAACTGGCGGGAGGGTTGACCTACAATTAAAAGAAAAGCTAGAAGGAAGGTCGAATAAAAAACAAAATTGAAAATTACACAAATGAGCTACAAAAATTAGAATCAAACCTACAATTTTTCACAGATTATTGTTATTATTTTTAATTAATTTACTCAGGGATTGTGATGAGCATAGGTTGCCAAGCTCTCCTTAGTAATCTATACCGAAACGCCCTTGTTATCTGCCTCAGAGAACTGCCGTGGCGTGCCGTCAGACCGTCACTTACGCTCCTCGGAGCTGGTAACAACCCTTCACTATCATCCACTCCACTCTTTACTCTCCATCTCTTCAAAAGGCGGCGAAGACACAAAAAGCTCCTTCAATTTCCTTCTCCCCTTTCCTTCTCTCTTACTGTCGCCCTTCTTGTTATTGGTTTCAGTAGCAGCGGTTTTTTTTGGAGACTGATCCGCAACCTTCTCTCGGTCATCGCAATGGCCGAATCGGTGGCGCTCTGAACCAGACGAACGGTTGAGAAGCATGTGGAGAGTTTTATGTCGGCGGATGTGGATGACAGGACTTGCACTCGGGCTCCTCCCCGGACTTCCTGCTATCGTGCACTGCGTGCCTAGTAGCTTGAATTTTTGCAGAGTCGCCATTAATTCGTAGATCGATATGAATCTAAACTAGGTGCTACTAATTAACACTCCTTCTGTTCCTCTGAATCCTAGAACTTAGATCTGAGATCTGAGAGAAAAACGAATGAATCAGATTCCTGGATTTATTAGGGATTTTGGAAGGAAAAAAAATTGGATGGAAAAAAATTGTCATCAATTGGGTGAGGGTTATTGTCCACATAAGCCTGTAAAAATTAAGAAAAAGGTAATTGGAGGAGACTTAACGTGCCATGTGTGTAGTTCCGTGACGGAAGGACCGTTTGGGTTCCAGAAAAATAAAGTTTAAGGATGATTTGTGTGCTTTCTAATGTTAAAGGACGAACTAAGTTTCAAATACAAAGTTTAGGGACCAAATTGGGTATTAAACCTTTTTTTTTTAAGAGGGCAGTGGAATCCCTTGTTTATCTCAGCCGGCAAAATTTTGTAGCGTACCAAGGTTTTGTAGTTTTTGTTGTTTTGAAATCTATCTCCAGATTCAAGCCAAAACTGCCAGTCCAGTACAAAAACATACATCATCAGCTCCAGCGGAATTTGCGTTGATCTCAGTATTTCTTCCCTTCCATGGCTTCTCTATCAGCATCCCTCCCAAAACTCTTCTCAAAAAGCCCACTTCTTTCCATAAAATACACTGATCACATGAACAATTCACTTGTTTTCTCACCGACTATTTCCTTTACAAAAAATGGGTCTTTCAGGGAAGGGAGAATCCTTAGAAGTTCTAATCAAACTGAAGCTTTGATCGGTTAGTTTCTTCTTATTTTCCCAAATAATTTATGCTGCTCTTGAATCTTGATGTTGGTTTTCTATGTCCTGCTTTTCTGACAGATTCCAGTACAAAAATTTCAGATATTCCACTCCTGTCTTGCTCAGAGGTATGCGGGTTCATTTTCTTTTATATTAAGGTTGAATGCTTTAATTCCAGCGGTTTTATGAGTTTAGTGGATGTTTTTGTTGAATCAATGGGAAAAGCCTGAGGCTTTAATTTTAACAAAGTAATAATGTATAGTAGACATAAGGCATTCTTAAGGATTTCTTATGATTGGTTTTGTTCTAAATTTATGTTTGTTAAGGCTATTGAGAGAATGAAAGCAAATAGAGAAAAGCACAAGGGGAAGCAACAATTCCTGGCTATGTATTCTAGTATTATGGGAGGAATAACAACTGATCCTGCAGCTATGGTAATCCCTATTGATGATCACATGGTTCACAGGGGGCATGGTGTCTTTGATACTGCTGCTATAATGGAAGGGTTAGTTAATTTGTCCCCAGAATAATAGCTATATTTACCAAAATTTTGACTGATTATCTGTATGGCATCATTGTTTGCACAGTTGAATGACATCAAACATTCATACTTAGCAATTACATTTATGAGTTTTCTAGCTGTCAGTCTTTGCAACTCTATCATATCAGTTGCAAGACATTGCTAATTCAAGCTAATATCCTCTTTTTGGTATTTTCTTAAGATTGAAATTCACACAATTACTAATCAAGCTCCTTTTATGTTTTTCAACATCTTAGGCACCTCTATGAATTGGATCAACACCTTGACCGTATTTTAAGGTCAGCATCCAAGGCCAAAATTCACCTCCCTTTTAATCGTGAGAGCATAAGAAACATACTGATTCAAACTGTTAGTGCTTCCAAGTGTGGAAAAGGATCACTAAGAT